AAGTTACGTGACATTACTAGCATGTAATCACGCTTAAAAAGTGGTGTTCGGAGACTTTTGGTGACCCTCTGTATATTTATTTATATATATAATTACTTTTTATAATTTGAAAAATTAACATATTAAGTTCTTTGATTTTCATTTTAAAACTAAAGAAAAATAAATATAAATTAGAAAATTTTATATTTAATTTATATATTATATAATATAATTATATACTAACATACTTATCAAAAATTATTAAATCATAATTACTTCATTAATAAAAGAATTTTAAATTTTTCTGGCAATTTATAATTATTAAAAATAATATTATAAATCATATTACATTTTATAAAGCAATACAGATAATATAATTAATAAAATATTATATTGTATATAAGATTATTAGACAAAACCTAAAAATTTTACAAGTCATTTAAATGGAAAAAGTAAAATTTAGTAAAATTATATTAAAAAATCTGCAAAATTCTGAAAAGATAAAACTATATTAAAGCTTATTAAAATGTAAAATTATATCAAATCTTAATAAAAAATTAATAAAACTATAATTTAAACATTTTTCTTAATCCAAAATAATTATAGACAAACAACCTTTATTATATATCATTATACAGTTAACTCTTATTATAATGAACTCTACGTTTTAGATCTCAACTTCGCTATAAGGCTATAGTAAAGATTTTAAGAGATTTAATTAGCCAATTCACTATAATAAGGTATTTTTATTATATTTATTTAAAAAATTTGTTATATCAAGAGTTCTCTATATCAAGAGTTGATTATATATATTAATCTAATTTTAAATGAAAAAGTGTTTGTAATAATATTTAAATAAATGAATAATTTTTGTATTGTATAATTAAGTTTAATTATAATATTTATCTTCTTAAATTTTATTTAAAATAAAATGTATTGATGTATTATCAATTAAAAAATAATCTTTTGATTTTGACTTTATAATTTTATTAAATTTAAAAAAATTTTTTATAAATTCTAATTTGTATCTATGATTTTTTGTTTTAAAATAATAAGCTGAGAGGTTTTTATAATTAATATTTTTTATAATACAAGAAATTTTATATTTATAAATCAATATAAAAGTTATTTTTTTAGTTTCAGTTATATTTGTTATACAAAATATTATAACCTAAGATTTTTTATGACCTGATATAAAAGTATATACTAGAATTTTAAAAGGTTTTATTTTTCAAAAAAATGCTAGTTTTATCACCATTTCAAATATCTTAAATATTTTTTAGATTGTAAGTATAAGAAGCTATTGTAATATAAAATGATACTTATACTAGAAGATACATTTTTAGCATCACTTTACTTCTTAAATTATCACAAACTATATTGTTTTTAAAATCACTTAACCATCTATTTGAATAATAAAAATCTTTTATAGATAATTCTCTATTAAAGTAATTTGCCTTTATTTTTAAAATATTATCTTAATATCTTGATTTATATTAAATGCATTACTTTTAATTCAATAAAATAGATTAGAATTTATTATTATTTTTTTTTTTTTTAAATATTTTAAAAGTTTAAGAACCTAGATCCTTCTAATTGTCTAAAAAAAAAAGATTGAAATATATCTATAAAGTTTCAAAAACTTAGTATATGATGTATGTTTTTTTTTCTTTCTAAATTGCTATTCAATACTTAAATTATATACAGAGTAAGGTTAACATTTCATTAAAGTTTTTTATATCATTTATAGTATTTTTATAAATAAAATAACAATTCCTATATCTATTTGGGATTGTTTTATTAAATATTAAAAGTTACAAAAATTTCATATTAAAATTGTGAAAAATTAAGGGTCCTTAAATTTTAAAAAGTGCGAAAATGAAAAATGAAAAAAAAAATAATTATTTTCTACGCGGGGCTGATGACTTATCCCTCTTTTTTAAGTGAACATTTCGTCTAAGGTATCAATGATTGATGTATATCTACTTGAGCCATGAACGATTATAAACTTATATCAAAACTATGTACAATATAAAAAAAAAAATACCTCATAAATGAGATATACATAGAAAATTTACCATAAAAATCACGCGTGTACTTATGTAAAAAAATTCTTCCTCTTCCCTCCCCCTTCATAATAAAGCAATTACACGGAATAATATTATTTGCCATAAAAATCCAGAGTAAAATCGAATAATGTATTGTTCGTTTATCTTCAAAATTATTTTTATTTGGATTGGCGACGTCGCTTTTCGACAGACTTACCTTTCCCTCCCTCAGAATCAGCATCGTTATCGGAAAGTTCGTGACGACTACGTTTCTCATCATTCTCCGTATGTTCAACTTTAACTTCAGTATCACTAAGAGTTTTGTCTGGTACCGCCGAAGGTGCGGATTCGGGAACAACATCATTCTTTAGATCACGTGATTCTTCTTTCCGATATCGGGTATCTTTCCTAATCGGAATTTTAATTCCTTGTTTTGCGAATGCTTTCGACAGTTCAGTTGATTCTATTTTAAAAAAAGTATGATAAAAAATGTGTATGTTTTTAGCCACAGTTACAATCTAACAAGATCATAACGACATTCGATCACAAGATCGTACCTGTCATTCCGGGAAATTTTTTTGCGGTATATACTTTAAAAGGACCGCTGTACACTTCGGCTGCAACAGTCCCACGACTATTGGTATAACGTTATGGATCAATTAAAAATTTAACTCTAATATAAAAAAAAAAGCATTTTTTTTTTTTTAATAAACGGTGCTTACCGAGTAAGCAGACCCTTTACGTCACAAAACGAAAATTTTAATGTGAATGATCCTTCGGTGCGGACGGATAGGTCTTGAAAGATGAAATAGATTCCTTGTTGACCCAAGGCATCAGTGAGAACATATGCGGATGAAGTACAATGACCCATAAGATTTCGGGTGCATGAAGGAGCGTTTAACGATAAAATGGAGTTAGGTCCGGTTCCAGTTGATTGAGAGGGAATCGTTGATGGATTGATTACAAGGCTACGCTCATCCATGCAATTTTCGGACCATAAGGCAGCGTGTACGATCATCATAGAATGATCAACGGAACTAATCAAGTTGTTTAGAAATAATATCCTCACGTTAAAATCTCATTAACTTTGACCACAAAGAAGAATTTTTAAACAAAAGGTATTACCTTTCAGGTACAGAAGTTCCATCGGCAGTAGATACTAGAAGTTTAACGACAGGTGGAGGATCGATTGGACGCCGATCTTTATCCCCAAATCCGCACATTCTTGCTCGGATTGGTTGTTGGGCAACCTCCAATCGGTAACTATATAGAAAAAAAAATGATGTTTGTATATGAGCAAATGAACTTTTTGTGGGACGGCAAACTTTGACCATTCAGGATAATACCAAACTTTAGTAGTTTTGGTAATTGAAAACAATACAATGTGCGGAACTTTAACAGGAAAAAAGTAGCTCTAGTTACTTTGTAATATTATTATACGGAAAAAAGGTCATGACGAAGGGTGAAGAATAAAAACGAAAACACAAGAAAAAAGAAAAAAATTTCTACTCATACACTAACTTTATTGATGGGTCTAACAGAAATTGTGAATGCCGATCGGAACTAATCTCCATAACGATAATATCGAAATTATCATATCTTTACTACCAAGGAACAAAGAGCAAAAACTTTTTTTTTTTTTTTTTTGTCCTCAAAAACGAAAAATATCGGCATTTAAAAATAAAATTAATTGACCGAATTTAGTAATGATCAGTTATATTAAATTTTTGTGTAAACCAAGTAAATAAAATTTATGCAACCTATCCAACAGATCAATTTTTTTATAAATAAAAAAATTCTGATCCGCGTTATCCCAAATTTAATCTAATCCGATTTTTTTTTTTTTTTTTGAGGGTTTTGCTTTTTTTAATTTGTCGTGTGATCTTTTACTGTTATTTAAATCCTATTTATACATAATTATTATTTGTAAATAAAAAATTTAGTTGACCATTGAGAATGTTTACTCGTTATATTGAATATCAAAAAAAGAATATAAAAAAAAATTTTTTTTTTTTTTCTGTGGTTGGAGATTCATTTGCTTAATTTCTCCAAAATGACTTTTACAACCTTCTCAATATTTTCTGACAATGTTGAAAGACTATTTGATTCTAATACAATCAAATCGTTTAACATATCATTTTCTCCCCCGGATCTATTGATTATGTGATCATTAGCTTTAATGTAATTAGGCCAAACCATTTGATCAAAATAATTTGGAGGATCAACCCAACGCCTTCCTAATAATTTCTTGCCATATTCCGTTTCCCTTCGTTTCTTAACCGTATCATAATCCGCCTTTAAAAATAATTT